CCTCTTCAGTTGGATGTCTAGTAGGTACCTCAACCCTCCCATGTCCACTCTGTGCCCCTGATACAGCCCTCTCCCACCCAACTTTCTCTGCACACAATCTTCTGCATTTTAGTAGAGGTCAATTTCCTCTTCCAGTTGCAGAGGCTGTAGCACTTAAGAGTAATCCTTGACAGATCTCTTACTCTGCAGCATATCCTGTCAACTCTACTCCAAAAATATAATCAAAAGATGCTTTCTCTCCACTTGCACTGCTTTCCAGCTACCATCATTTCTTGCCCAGACTGTTGGGAGTGACTCTCAATTTGTCTCCCTGCTTCTGTATTTGCCTTCCTTCATGCTATTTATTCTCACATAGCCCTTAGAGAGATCCTATTAAAATCAAAATAAGATTATGCCACTCCTCTGCTCAAATCCTCCACTAGCTTTTCATCTCATGCAGAGTATGACTCAATGTTCTTTAATCACTGATTGCTCTCTCCTGACTCCTTTCTTCTTCTTCAGCCACACTGGACCCCATGTTCTTCACTGAACAGGGCCTTCGAGTATGCTATCCCCTCTGCCTGGAATGCTCTTCCCTCAGATTATGACTTGTTTTCCTTCCTCCTTTAGGTCTTTACTCTAAATGACCTTTTCAGCGAGGCTTTCTGAAGCCAGTAATCTAAAGTTCCTATTCCCATCCCTCTTTACATGTTTAATTTTTCTCCTTAGCTTTTATCTAACATACTATGTATTTATCTTATTTCTACTGATATTGTCTTACTAGAATGTAAACTTCATGAGGCAGGGATTTTTGTCTGTGTTTTCACTGCTGTATCCTCTGCACATCGGGAAGTGCCTGGCACACACTATAAATTCAATAAGTATTCCTCAAATGAATAATTGAAAAAATGGGTGATACAGGTCATAAAAAAATAAGGATTACTAATGAAAGCATGATTAACAAAGGCCTATGAGCCTAATGTCTAAAAATGTTCACACTTTTTTTTTTGGGGGGGGGAAATCTGTCTTTGGAAAATCTTTGACTTTATATCCCATAAGACCAGGGTTCATTTCTTGTATCTTCGTAGTGTGTAACTTTAGAGATGAGTGTTCAGGAAGGAAGAGGATAATGAGAAAAATATAAGTGAGTATTAAATAATTTCAATTGTTTGTCATGCTGTATGAGCTAATGATTTTTAAAAATTATTACTACATAGGACTTATTACTCATAGCTGACTGAAATTAGAAATGAAAAAAAACGGTTATTCATTGATTGAATAGCAGTGTCTGGCATACAGTAATGTAATATATAAAGTAAGTTGGGCTTGGATGCCATCCAAAAGGGCTTAGCTATTGAAGCAGTTTTATTTCTGAAGTGATACTAAAGAATAGGCATGGGTGTCCAGGTTAGTTACAGTTAAATTTAGGAATAAGGCACAGTAATAAAGATATTATCTTTAGACTTGAAAATTATAAATTCTTAGTTGTTATTCCTTATCAGTTTATAAAGTTAACAATGAATGTACAGACTACAAGCTATCAAATGTACTGTAGATGAAAAGGGCAATAAACACTAGTCAGAGTTAGAGGTAGAATGATATAATGGAAAGATAAGAATTGGGGCCAGGCACGGTGGCTCACACCTGTAACCACTGCACTTTGGGAGGCCAAGTAGGAGGATAGCTTGAGCCCAGGAGTTTAAGACCAGCCTGGGCAATACAGCGAGAGCCCATTTAAAAAAAAAAAAAAAAAAAGAAAATATGTATTTAAAAGAATAAAAAAGAAAGGTAAGGATTGGGAAACCTGGGTAGCAGCCTTTACTATGCCACTCACTGGCTGTGTGATTTGGAGTAAGTCATTGAAGCTTTCTTCCTTATCTCACCTGTAAAATGTGAGGATACAATGATAGGCTTCAAAGAGTCTCTGAGAACTCAGTATTGTAGGATTTTTTACTTCAAGCTTAACCACTGTGGTAGCAAAAATAACATACTCTCTGCTCCCCTATCGCAAAGGATGTCCACATCCAAATCCCCAGAATTTGTGAATATGTTGTTACATGGCAAGGGGAAATTAAGGTTCCTAATAAGCCACCATAAAATAAAGAGATTATCCTGAATTATCTGGTTGGGCCTAACATAATCACAAGCATTCTTATAATGTAGAAGAGGGAGCCAGAAGACTGGGGGTCAGAGTGATGTGATGTGGGAAAGACCTGAACAACCATTGCTGGCTTTGAAGATGCAGGAAGTGGCCACGATGAACCAAGGATGTGGGCAGTCTCTGGAAGGTGGAAAAGGAAAGAAAACAGAGCCTCCTCTAGAGTCTCTAGAATGGAGCTCAGCCCTGCTGTACCTTGATTTTAGCCCAGTGAGACCCGTATTAGACTTCTGACCTCCAGAACTGTAAAAAAAATAAACTTGCATTACTTAATTATTAAGTTTGGTAATTTGTTACAGCAGCAGTAGATAACTAATATAATCATGATACTAACTGTAACCAGAAAAGTTGCACCCAAGTTTATCACAGATGCAGGGTTTTAAATGAAAATCCTATACTCTGATTTCTGTGAAGATCTTCAGAGTCATAAGTAATGAGAGACCATGAAAAGTTTGTTGAAAAGCTGTGGGAATTAGTAGAGAGGGTCTATACGGGAATAAAATTTTTACTAATGATTTTACTAATGATTTTTTACTAACGATTTTACCAATCATTAGTTAAAATTTTTACTAATGATTTTACTAATCATTAGTGAATCATTAGTAAAAATTTTAACCAATGATTTTACTAACCATTAGTAAAATTTGTACTAATGATTCATGTGAAGAAAAGAAACTTGGATATTTTATGAAGGAAAGAATATGGGCAAGAGGAGAAATTCTTCTCTGGGCTTCAGTTTATTTATCTAAAAACCGAAGGACTAGAATAAACAATTTCCAGATTTTTCTAGCTCTGAAATAAGATTTTAAACCCTGATGGATGGATGCTAAAATGGGCCTTTGACACCACTCCCCTACCCCACCCCACAAAGTACTATAGTTATTTTTAGTATCCGATGGTCAAGCTTCACAGAAAGTTCTTAGTTTGGTAACAAGGAAATGGCTCTGAATTTTAACCCTGACACTTTTATTCAGGTAGTATGTATGAGAAAACTTAATTTTCTTTTCTTTTTCTTTTTTGTTTTGAGATGGAGTTTTGCTCTTGTCGCCCAAGCTGGAGTGCAATGGCGCGATCTCGGCTCACTGCTACCTCCACCTCCCAGGTTCAAGCAATTCTCCTGCCTCAGCCTCCTGAGTAGCTGGGATCACAGGCGCCAGCTACCACGCCCAGCTAATTTTTATATTTTTAGTAGAGATGGGGTTTCACCATGTTGGCTGGGCTGGTCTCAAACTCCTGACCTCAGGTGATCTGCCCACCTTGGCCTCCCAAAGTCCTGGGATCACAGGTGTGAGCCACTGCACCTGGCCCACTTTAGTTTTCTTACTCTTCTGCCACTTTACATATAAAATCACGGTAAACATTTAGCTAGGTGGATTTCACATGGGATGATCATTTTAGATGAAAGTTTACTGAAGATTTATTCTTTATGTAACTAAACTTTATGAATTTTTGATGAAACTTTTTCTAAAGTGAAATACATGTCCTATTTTTATACAAAATTTAACAAGTACCATAAAACCTTTTATTGAAAAGAGTCATCACCAGTAAAAGCAATTGCTATATTGTGTTGTAAACACAGCGATGTTCTTTCTACACAGGTGTCTGTAATCTATGGCCTGCAGGATGTTCTTGTAAGGCTTGGGAGGTAAGAATGGTTTTTACATTTAAAAAATGTTGTTAAAAAAATGTGACCTAGACCATACATGGCTTGCAAAGTCTAAAATATTTACTATCTGGCCCTTTACAGAAAAGTTTACTGACTCTTGCTCTAGAAAAAGATGTATAGGCCTCTTCAACAAATGTCTCCAACTAGATTCAATTTTATGCTCTGTCACCAAAGGAAAGTATTTTTATCTTGGCACAGTGTCTGACAAAATAGTTCTAATATTTGTGGAAAAATAAAGGTCATTGATATTTAAAATTCTTTTGTTGCTTCTTCTTGTTACATAGTCTCCTACTCACCCTCAAGTTTTCATCAGTCACTATAACTGCCTCTAGCAGTCTCTCCTCTCTACTCCCACCTTTCTACTCTCAGTGGAAATTTGGCAACACAGCTTATATATATTTTAAGGTAAGGTTAAATTGGTTACATGAAGACCCTAGACCTACTTTTTGAGTAGAATACAGGTGGTTTGGTGCAGCAATTTGGTGACTTATTTTGATTGCCCCAAGGCTTTTTTGTTTAGTTCCACGTTCTCTAATACCCTTTGGAAAAGCAACATTTCAGGACAGATGAGGTGTTACTGTAGTATACCTGATCATTTTTATAACATAAAAGTAGCATTACATCTGAAAAGATATTCATCAAAAGACTGAACTGCAGTAATTGGAGTGGTAGGATTTTCTTGGAATATCTGAATTTATTACTACTTTTACAATGAACATACATTACTTTTATAATCAGAAAAGCTACCTTAATTTTAAAGAAAGATAAATCAGAAGGATCTGTCTACCCAGTCTTACTGACCTAACTCAACAATTTTCATTTGCCATATTTTCTATCATAATTTGATCACAGTTTTTAGTGGTTGTAAATACTGTGTTTATGTTTTTATTTTGATTCATACCTGCCTTGCTGAAAAATACGCTGTAAATATAAAATACCGCAGTAATGCCGACAATCAACATGGGGAAAGCTGACAGACTTTTTTTACTTCTGCTCGACTCATTATTTTATACAATAAGCTCAGACGAATAATATCCAAATTGGATAATGTTACGCTTGACAAAACACTTTACTTCATTTAGTCCTCACAACAACCCTGTGAGGTAGGCACATTCTCGGAGGTAAAATGACATAGGCAAAGTTCCCTGGCTCGTTTGGGGAAAGGCTCAGCAGCCGGGCCAAGAAAGGTCTTTGGGGAGCGCTTTTAGTAATATTAGAGCTTTCACTAAACCCTGGCCTCTTATGTCCCCTCCCCTGAGATTTACCTTTACAGACTCAAATTCTTTCACGCCGGGAAGGCAGGCTGAGGGCTGCGAAAACCTGCAGCTCATACCCAAAGCTAGCACGGTCTATCGCTGGAGATCCAGCGCCCAAGAGCTCCGCCGGGCGCATAGCGCACGGCACACCTCCTCCCCCAAGCCGCAGACTCAGTAACTCGCCCCGGACTAACCTGACCAGGTCGGTCATGCAGGAGCCCACCACTACCACCGCCGCCACCTCCTCCTGCCACTGCCTCCAGGGTTCCCCAGACGCCGCCATCGCTCAAAGGTGCTGCTGTCCAACCTGGACGCTGACCTCTGCCCTTTGCCTAACCCTGTAACCAGAGACGCCGCTCCTGCCTTCCCTAACGACGCGGGCCTTTCAGACGCCTACGCGGGTCGCCCACCTGACTGCCCGAAATCACCCCGCCCACCAAGTGTCCCCCCTTCTTCCTGGAATAGTCTCCGTGCACAGCCTCACGTAACAGGGCCCTCCTGATATGGCAAGACTCCCCGCTCCTCGCCACTCACAGGGCAGGCATTGAGGAAGGAACTGTCAGGCACCGCGGGGACGCCTTTCCGAGCGCCCGGCTCGGCGCGGCGCGGGGGCGCGCACGCCGCCCAGCTCTGGGGCCGCAGAGGGGGCGGGGCGGGACGTCCAGGGAGTGCGCACGCATCCGGCCCGCGGCGCGCGCGCAGGTCGGTGCGTCGGTCGGGGGCGCGCTCGGGTACCTGTACCCCACGTAGTCGCCGGTTACCGATCGGACTAAGTTCCAGGTACCTGGACTGGGGCTGGTGCGGGGAGGTTGGATCCCGAGTCGCACAGGTGGCGTGGAGAACCGTGGTTTAAATATGGCCAGGGGACTCGCCTCCTCTTCCTATGGGGAAGGCCCCCGTTCCAAAGATGCCCTTCTCATCCCCAACACGCTGATCCCCTCAAGAACGAGCCCCCAAGGGCAGATGCGTCTCTTTCTCCATGTATGGCCCATCCCCTGGTCCCTGTAAACCCCGAGTATTAGTCCCTTGTTGCCTGATGAGGGGAACCATACAGTTTGGGAGAGGGGAGAGTGTCCCTTTTAAGACGTCCCCTAGAGTGGGGTGGTCATTCTTCGGGTCTGAGCTAGTTTGTTTTTCTCGAATGTTGCCCCTTGGGGGAAATTGCTTCCACAGTGTAACTTCCCTCGTGCGCTGTATGACGTCGACGTGACGCAGCAGGATGCCACCCCTTTCCGTTCCATGACGTCAGCAGGGCACATGTTTCCGTGTTTGTCATCTATTTTTAATTGCAAGAACCTGGATGGCGCTTTAGACGTCTTTGTAATCCCCAGGCCTCTCATCAAAGGACCTTTTGTAACTTTATTTTGGGGTAGCAGACCCTTGCAAAAATTGTAATTTTGCATTTTCCTTTTGCAATACGTCAAAATCAGGAAATACAAATTGCAGGAGAAGCATTCAGGTGACTCTGACCACCATAAATATTTGTATATCTGGGGTGTATTATAGTGCTGCCATGCGTAAGAGTTGCTACCGGTGGTGACTCCCTGTCCATGTACCCAGTTCACTGCACCAAAGGACCAGTGTTTTTGGCTAAGTGACCTCTGATTTTGGAGTCATTGTATTCCAGCCCCCCTTGTTGTTGTTGTGTGTTTTTTTTTTTTTTTTTTTTTAAGAGAAGTCACACCTCCTCGTGGTTGAAATAGATTTTAAAACTGCGTGCGTGAAACCTTGCACTGTCAAAAAATAGTATTATGGCTGCCCTAGAAATAAAGAGAATTCATTCCCTAAGGTGTCATTCTAAAGTCACGACCGTTGCTGAATTAGAATGTATTGGTGTCACTTTTAGTATGGTTTGGCTTCTAGAGCAAGGTTGTTCCTTTTAACATTTGTCTAGTGAATCACTCAGAACAGGTTCAGCAGTAGCCCAGCAATAGTCCAGTGTGTTTTTAGTGGTAAAGCAATCATTTGTTTAAATTTGTTACTTTTTGTCTGTTCACATTTTATAAGATACACGCTTTAAAAAATCACTTTGATGCTTTTCTCTTTGGTGATCGAAGTTATCAACGTTTATTTGAGAGGAAGATGGGTATGGTGGACTTGGAGAAGCCGGATTCAAATTCTGATGCTTCAACTTCCAACGTTCAACAAGTTACTCTGTTTTGTTGAGCTTTAATTTTCTATTTGTCAAGTTTCTTTAGCTTCCATTTGTCAAATGGGAACAATTATTGTTCTCAGGGAACAGAGTTGGGGGGAAGTAAATGAAATTACAGATAGAGGTGAGTAATATAATGCCTGATAGCTGGTAGATAGATGTCTAGAATGTGTTGGTTCTGTTTCCTTCTTTTGTAGAAACAAGAGATAAAGTAATAATAGGTACTGTGGGAAAAAACACAGAAGAACAATTTTGTAATATAGGTGAGACCCTTTTGCTTTTTTGTAACATGGGTATATTTGTACTTAGCATATGACTTTGATAAGCATCCCTTCAAGAATTGTGACATAGACATGAAGGTGGAAATGTTGGCGAATGGAAAAAAATAGGCTTCAAAATTATGATGTGGATTAGTATACTGTTCAGAATCAAATGATAATAATTACCCATATTATCTGCAAAATGGGAATTAAAATTCTTTCTTTACTACCTCAGGCTTGTGAAGATCAACTGCAGTAGTATATATGGACGCTCCTTATAAGTGATAAAACATTTTAAAAAGTACATGATTTTTATGATTGGTAGTATAGTGTTAGATGTTTAGTCTTACTTTGAAATGAGAGAATAGTTGGGGGGGGTCATCTGTTAAGTGGTCAGAAGAAGAGCTTGTTTGATATTTACAAAAAGGATGATTTTGGAACTGAAGTATAAGTATAAAGGTGTTATAAGTATCTTGAAGATACTTCTGGGTGTCATCACTATATAGGGTCAAAGTGTTATTTTTTGAGCTATCAAATTAGCAAATAAATTTATTATTTACTATCTGAAATAATACATTGAAACAGGTTCTACTTTTCAACATTTATTTTAGCAAGGACTTGCAAGTTTTCATGTGGTATAATGTATGAAAACTAGAACCAGAACATCATTTACTGGTAACTTGCTGGAAATTAATTTTCTTTTGATGTGGCATTATTCTTTAAAATTGAGGAAGGAAACGATCATTTAAATCGACTTATTCCTCTGAAGGAAGAGGCTTTCATTTAGAAATCTATTAAGAAGAATTCGTGTACTCTCTCCCCCAGCCCCGTGAGTTTCCAGATAATTTAGATATGATGTATTGGTTCTACTTTTGTGGTTTTAAGTGTAAGGACTTAGTGCCTTAAAGTCAAATACCTTAAGATCCGTGTTAGTCTGTGTTGCTTGATAGCTGCATAGGTGATGTTTTCATAATTTAATTGTCAAGTAGATTTTTGCTATATCTATCCCTTGGATTTTGTTATGTCTATTCCCCTACCAAATTTTTTTTGGGGGGCACATTATCTTCTCTCCATACAGAAATATTTCTCTAACTTTTGTCCCCTTACTCATTTATTTATTAAAAAATGTTTATTGAGTGTTTAGCATGTGCCAGGTATTTCTGTTAAACCTTGGGGATTCAAAATGTAGTCCCTGCAGGGAAGAGATCACATAAACAGGTAGTTTTACTACATTGTGGACGGAAAGATTATTAAGAAAGGTATATCAGCAGTGGGCCGGGCGCAGTGGCTCACGCCTGTGATCCCAGCACTTTGGGAGGCTGAGGCAGGTGGATCATGAGGTCAAGAGATCGAGACCATCCTGGCCAACATGGTGAAACCCTGTCTCTACTAAAAATACAAAAATCAGCCGGGCCTGGTGGCGCATGCCTGTAGTCCCAGCTACTTAGGAGGCTGAGGCAGGAGAATCACTTGAACCTGGGAGGCGGAGGTTGCAGTGAGCCGAGATTGTGCTGTTGCAGTCCAGCCTGGCAACAGAGTGAGATTCTGTCTCCAAAAAAAAAAAAAAGGGTATATCAGCAGTAAATAATTTCTAGTAAGGAATAGTTGCAAGCAGGTTAGCCTGTTGTAGGGTTTTAATATGGTATTATCCATCAAGTGTTCACTCCTTGTGGGGACACAGAGGGAGAGATTGCTAACTCAGTGATGTGTGTGTTTTTGTGTTGGGATAGAGGATTGCTAGCAAGGGCTCCTTGGACTCAACTAAAATAGAACAAGCCAGTTGTGAGATAGAGTGGGACCACTTTAAGTAGAGTATGGCAGTGTAGAAATCAGCTTTGGGAAGGAAGAGGGAATTGTATTTCAGGGGTTCCTTCTGTTCCTGAAAAGCAGTGGTGTAGTCCCAGTCCTGAGTAGCTGAGCAGAAGTGAGGTGGTTTCTTCTGGAAGATCACTGGAAGAGGCTGCACTAGAGATGGGAAAGGAATTATTTATTCATGCAAGAGGAACTGCTGTATGCTGTCCAGTTTTCAGGAAGCGTGTTGTATCTAGTCCATTTGTAAGCCCTGATCATCATTCTCTCCTTCTACTTTCAGTGGTGATTTACAAGTCAAGTTAAAATGTCCCCAGAAGTGGCCTTGAATCGAATATCTCCAATGCTCTCGCCTTTCATATCTAGCGTGGTCCGGAATGGAAAAGTGGGACTGGATGCTACAAACTGTTTGAGGATAACTGACTTAAAATCTGGGTATGTACCAGAATGAGTTCAGTGAAAGTACCAGAACCAATTCAACCTTTACCTAATGACAGCCCTTCCTTACCAGACTCATAAAAATTGACCACGACAGAAACCCACCAAGTCATCATCTCATCATATTTTGATTCAGTTGGTTTTGTTCAGTTCTTGACATTTTATGTTTCAGGTTATTTTATTTGTGTTCTGGGTCATTGTTTTATGACTAGAATGTTCATGTCTTTTTTCTGTTTTTTCTTTGTGAAGAGCATGCCGTCAGAGTTTTAGAAGTGTGTTTTTCATTCATTGGCTTGTTTTCTTATTGTGTTTGCTGCAGTCCAGCAACAAACATATTCTGAATCTGATATCATTTGATAAACTCTCTTAATATGAAAATTATAAAAGCTAGTCAAAATGGGTCATTTCTCACAATGGGGTTGAAACAGTAAGATCTCACACCTAGAAATGTTGCATTAAAAAACAGATTTTTTTTTTTTCTGAAACAAATTTAGATTTACAAAAAAGTTACAGAAATACTACAGGAAATTAGCATTGTTATAATATTGTTAATTGTCCTACAGGTTTTATTTGAATTTCGCCAGTCTTCCCATTAATGCCTTTTTCTTGTTCCAGGATCCAATTATCATATCTCCTTAGTCTCCCCAACAGTGACAGTTCCTCAATTTTTCTTTGCCTGTCATGACCTTGATGCTTTTAAAGAGTACTGGCTACTTATTTTGTAAAATGTGCATCCACATGGGTTTGTCTAATGTTTTCTTTTTGTTAGAGTGAAAAATATGTTTTTTCCCAAGTGTAATACAGATGTGTTGTTGTACCATCCTCAGTGCATCAGATCAGGGAATATATGATGTCCAGATGCCTTTTTACTACTAAGTTAACTTTGATAATTTGGTTAAGTGATCACTGTAAAGTTAACTGATTTTTCTCCTTGTAATTAGTTAAGTACTGTGTTTTGCTGAGAGATGCTTTGAGACTTTGCAAATATCTGGTTTCTCATCATCCTTTTGTCCATTGATTTCAGCATCCATGGATGATTCTTGCCTCTAATTATTACTACTTTGATGCTTGTCTAAGAGTGCTTTTTCTCTTTTTCTCATTCTTCCCCATTTATTAATTTGAATTCTACTATGAAGAAACACTCTTCCTTTTCCTTCAGTTATTTATTTATTCAGTTATTTATTTATTCAGTTATTTACTTATGCCAGTATGAATTGTTAGGTATTTATTTTTCTCTGTGGGTTATAAATTAAATATTATTATCATTTATTTTGTTGGTCAGTTGTTCCAGCTTTTTGTCATTGAGAACTCTATCAAAGTGGCTTTTGTGTCCTTTTGACATATCCCCATCATTTTTGAGTACTTTCTTACTAGAAATGTTGCCTTTTTTTTAAAGATGGAGGAAATTTCATTGGACTCTGGGATTTGTGGGAGGCATAGGCATAGGCATTGGGCAGTAGGGCAAGTTTGCACGGGCCATGTTCAAGGTACCTTCTTGGATATGGCATCCACAAATGGAGCTGTTGGTATGGACAAAGATGCAGCCAGAAATCTCACTGACCTGGTCCAGGGCCTCCTCCTGAAGAACCTGCCATAGCTTGGGCTGGGGCAGCTAGCTTTAGAATGAGTGGGGCTCCTCGGGCATATACTGTACTACTATTGTCTAGTCTGGTCAGTATAGATAACAAAGATGATGGCTGGGGTAGGGGCAGCCTAGATTCCAGGTGGTAGAGTTGCTTCTTTCAAGGGCATCTACCTTTTGCCATTTCCCATCTCTTTCCACTTAGGTGCACCTGGAATCACTGGGCCAGGGCCCCATGCCCCGGTCTGGCAGCCAGATGTGCCGGTAGAAGCCTAGTCTCTGCAGAAACTCTTCTCTAAGAGTTAGTTCCATTACACACTTGAACCTTACCTTGGTTGGGCTGGTTCCAGGTGGAATTAAGTTGCGCCAGCATTCAGGCTAGTGGCTAGTGTATGTCAAAGTTGCCCCTTCTTCCACTGGTAGGTTTTATTATCTGTTGTATCTACCTCCTCCATGAAGTTCTCGTATATCTTGTCATAGAGGATGCCCACCATATTGTCCTCTTCACTAGACTCCAGCAACTGGGCCAGCAGCTTGTACCCAGCTGGGTCTGGAGCAGCTTGTGTCCAGCTGGGTCTGCACTGCTCAGCTGGGTCTGCCATTGCTTCCCAGGTGACAGGGCGCTCATGGTCTCTGTGAAAGATCTCTGGTGATGGTCATGTCAGTGTCTCTGTGGGTAGTACTTTTCACACATGTCCACCATGATGTCACATGAAGCTGATTTTTCAAGGTCCTTGGTCTGCACCCTCTCTGCATCCCGTAGTCTGGCAGGAGGCAAAGCAATGTGCATGTCAGTGTCTTGTCACAGTGGATGGTGCCCTTGTGTGTCTCCATTCATGGCAGTGCCATGAGGTTGCTGTGGGATCATTTGGGTAACAGGATGGACTCTGAGAGAAGCATGCAGTGCTGGGTTTGGAGGGGTGTTGGCAGTGGCGGCTGCAGCAGTAAAAGTAGAAATGCTGTATTCTTGATTCTCTTTCATCTTTCTCCTTGTTAGACTCTTTTGCCGTTTGCCATCTACACGTCTTGCTGTTGTTTGACTAAGCTAAAGACTTGGGTATCAGAATACTGACTTACATTCTTTAGTGGTAAGATAAAAAACTAAGACACTTCTTTGGAATAGTAGGATTCTTTTGAAAACATCTGATACTATCTTCAATTTCATTAATCAAATACTTACGGAGCATTTACTATTTGCTATCCATTTTGCTAGTGTTAGGTTAGTTCCTTTTTTGTTGAGGCAAGAGGATTTGGTAGAAAGAACTCTGGTGGAGTTGGTAAGAAGAAGGTTTTAACTTTTTTTTTTTTTTCTTCTAGAAGTTAACTATACACATTAGGGGATTTACAAATTAACTTGCATCCTTAGATAAGCCAGGGATTGGAAAGTGACTTTTTAGGCTTTTTTTTTCTTTTTTTTTTTTTTTACTGGTTTAGAATTTTTGCCATTTAGTCAAGCATCAGGCCTGGTGCTCAGACAGACTTCCCCAGCTTTTAAATGGTGGTAGGAAGTGGGGATTCTGAAATAGAGACTGCATGTAGGATTCATTCAGTCTGAATTTCCCACATTATTATAGACAATCTAGATACAGATTGGAGCCTCCTAAATTACAAAATGCTTTCTTTAGATGGACTCCATCTCTAATTGAAGTCATCAAGATCAGATCTCAAGAGGGTATTTTCCAGTTTTCCTCACTGTAATTTTTGGCCTGCAGAAAGTAGAGTGATGTACTTCCTTTACTGTGCTCATTTCTTCTCAGTTTGTGGTTTTGACTTTGATTTCCTCTTTCTGGGATCTTTAAATCAGTGTATTTTTCTTCTGGGTCTGAGAATAAAAAGATTTTCAGATGGATCACTGGATATTTCAGAGTAACTTTTCAGGTTTTCCCACACTTTCATGTTTCTTTCCTTCTCTGATTAAAAATAGCATCTTTATGTCTCCACTGTGCTCATCTCCTTTTTTCTGTGTTTTTGAAGGTTTAAAACTGTTGATCTTTTCATAAGTTCCTTTGGTTCAACAAGATTGTGCCTAATCCTGTCTATTTTCTTTTCCTTCCCACCTCAGGTCTTCTGGACCTATCCTATCTTGCATTTTACTGCTAGGAACAAACACTTTCTTCTTTTATTGGAATGGGGTGAGCTTGGAGAAAAGAAGGCATTTCAGATGTCCATTGATAGTCTTAAGTCTGTGTAGCCAGAGGCAGTTCCCATTTTCTCACTGGATCTCAGTTTTTTATCCATAAAATGAGCAATCAGATTAGATGACTAAGGTTTTTGCAGGTCAGAAGTCCTGCAAAAACACTCAAATGTCCATCAACTGATGAATGGATAAACAAATTTGGCATATCAAAAATAGAATATTATTTACCCATACAAAGTAATGAAGTACTAATTCACAGTACAACATGATGAACCTTGAAAACATTGTGCTAAGTGAGAGAAGCTCATTATAAAAGGTCACATAGTATATGATTCCATTTATGTGATGTGTCCAGAATAGGCTAATCCGTAGAGACAGAGAGTAAATTAGTGGGTGCCAGAGGCTGGGGGAATCAGAAGTGACTGCTTGAGTGTGGGATTTTGGAGTAACAAAAATGTTGTAAAATTAGTGGTGAAGGTTGCATCGCTTTGGGAATATATGAAGAATGATCAAATTGCACACTTTGCAGTTATTTTATGGTATGTAAATTACATCTCAGTAAAGCTGTCATTAAAAAAAAACACCGAACAACCTGAGTTGGGCACAGTGGTACAGGCTTGTAGTCCCAGCTACTCAGGAGGCTGAGACGGGTGAATCACTTGAGCCCAGGAGTTTGAGACCAGCCTGGGCAACATAGCTAGACCCCTTCTCTAAACAAAAATAAAGAAAAAAAATAAAACCAGCCCATCAACCGCGAATGTTCATTGACCTGAATGTATAGGATGTAGAAATAAATCTTTCTTTTTTAGCATGTCACAGACATTCTTTTCAGAGGTATTGAAGACCTGACAGGGGCCTGATGGCTAGTGGACTGCTGACTGGTGACTGGTATATGTAAAATGATATCAACCTGAGATTCTTACTCTTTGTATCAGTATCCTGAGAAACCAGTTGGCATTTATCAGCATGAAGTCCTTTGCTTCTTTTTCATAGATTCCCTTTTGAGTGTTCTCAAATTCCTGAATGTTTAGTTGAAGATTTAAGTGCAAATAGTGGGATCTGATGACAAATTTGAAATGAATCCACTAGCCCTAGCGTTTTTTTTTTTGTTTTTTTGTTTTTGAGATGGAGTTTCGCTCTTGTTGCCCAGGCTAGAGTGCAATGGTGCGATCTCGGCTCACTGCAACCTCTGCCTTCTGGTTTCAAGCGATTCTCCTGCCTCAGCCTCCTGTGTAGCTGGGACTACAGGTGCCTGCCACCACGCCTGGCTAATTTTTT